CTACAGGCAAAGGACTTAGAGGCAGTTCCTCTTTTTCCCTAGTAATGACGGCTTGCTTAAGCCGTTGTTAGAATATTTACAGGTAGTCGCCCACTTACAAATGGTTCCGTTTCAGACATTTATACTTAATCTGAACTTTGAAATTTGAACTGTATTTCCCCCCTGAAAAAATTTGCAAATGGTTTCTAGGCTACCCTTTAAAGACCTATGTAAGCCTCTGTGTGTTCGGTCACTCAGCTCTGTCTGACTCTTTGCGACCCTATGGACTGTAGCCTGCCAGGGCCCTCTGTCTATGGGATTCTCCAGGCAAGAATACTGGAGTGGGTTGCCGTGCCTTCCTCTGGGGGATCTTCCCAACCCTGGGGTTGAACCCGTGTCTCCTACATTACAGAATTCTTTACCACTGAGCCACCAGGGAAGCCCCATGTAACACAGTGTAGCTGAAATACCACACATTTATGATGAAAAATATTAGAATCACACTTCAGATGTACATTAGTCCCACTGTGTGACATTTAAATAGAATTTGGAGGTAAATCACTTGGGTTCAATGATACCTTGGTTTGTGGTGAGACAATGAATAATGGTGCCATGAAGGTGTTCCCATTAAGGTGATGGAGAGAGCTGTTGGGAATGCTTCTGCAGGAAGCCCGTCCATCTCCTGCATGGCAGGGACCAGCCATCTGGATGTAAGACATTCCTAAGTCAGATGTTTGCTTATCAGGAGTACCTGTATGCTCTTACTAGTTAGAGCAAGTGAAACATTCATTTAAAATAATCTTAAGTGAGGAATTGAAAAGTTTGTGTGTTTTGAATTCCTGAGCAGATGTTAATGTTGGTGAATGCTTTTCTGATACATTTACAGGTGACATATTTCATTTTTAGTGATCATATTTGTGTGTTTATTTTTCCCTCATTTTTGGATTTTTTTAAATCTGTGTGTGTTTGGTTTTATTCCTAAAATTATTGATGCTCCTTAGTTTTCAAAGAAAGGAATTTAATTTACTTAACTAAAAACAAAACAAAACAGTACTTAAATGTTAATAGTTGAAACAAATTTAAGTCTAGACTTTTTAAAATTCTTTGCTAGGCGTAATTTATTTTTTATTTTAAGAGATTTTTATTGTAGCAAAATTTTTGACTGTTTGTTAACTTATATTCATATGAGTATTGTATAATTCCTGGCAAAGTGGTAGTTTGGAAAGTTACATATAGAATATAGGAGAACGTGTGCTGTGAGTTTCTAACTCTTTTTAGTGTTTATTCAGTTATTCGTTTAGTTCAGATACATTTCTCAGCTTTCACAGCTGCTTTTTTCCCATCTAAAAAAAAGAGGCTGATGAAACTTGCTTCCATCATAGAGTTGCTAAAGTTAATAGTAAGATTGATTGGCATTGTATGACAGCCCATAATACTACAGAGATGCGCTATCAGAAGATCATGCATAGGGAAAACTTTCATTCCTTTTATTTCTTTTACTTGAACTCTCCTTTTCATAGCCAAATTTCTCAAAAGAATAAGCTGCATTCATCAGCTTCACTTTTAATCTTTCATTTTTGTCAAAAATCATCAGTAGTATTAAGCATTGATATTGTTATGACTATGTAAATGTTCTTCAGTATGAGTCAGGTAATCATACTATGAGTGTATTTTCTTTCTTGAACACCTTTCTACCCCCCACTTCGGAATGCTCTATTTTTCTCTTTGCTTTGTTTGCTGATGTTTCTTTCCCAAACATTTCAGTAGAACTGTAAAATTCTTCTCAGTGTAGTAAACACTTCCATCAAATCCACTTTTAAAACCCTTTCCTTGTTTCTTGGAGGTATTCTCTGGGTGCCTTTTGTCTTCCTGTTCTAATCTGGACTGTTTGCTCCTTAGGCCTGCTGAAAAGCTTTCATTCCGTCTGTTTCTTTCCTCATCATCCTGGGAGTCTCTTTTACTCCTTTATGTTTTGGATCATGTTTCCTGGTTCCTGTGTTTTCTTCCTTTTTGATTTATTCTCTTGTTTTGGTACAGCACATCCTCTCCCACCCACCTCCTATTTCCACTCACCCCCAGCCACCCAGTACGAAATCTTCTTAGTCTAGGCAGCTCTTACAACATCTATGAAGTTTTTACTCTCCTTTCAATTCCCTATTTGGATTGACCTCACCTTTGTGCCTCCATAGCAATCTTTGTCATGGCCTTCATACATCATACTTTTCAAGCACCTACTGTACATGTCAGGCGCTGTGTTCAGCAGGAGGGAGTCCAAGAGAGTAAGGTTCTTGTTCCCAAGAAAATTCTGAAAAATAGGAGCACCATGGTTCTCACTGGGGGGGCCATACTGCCCCCTAGTGGTTCTTTGAAAAATGGGAAATTTTTAGTTACAGCACTAATGGGAGGGCATAGCTGGCATTTTATAATCAGGGGCCAAGAATAATAAACATACTATAAGTCCAGCTCATCTTTAGAATATTCCACCAAACATTCATATATGAAAATCTGTTCATAGTTATTCAAGCCTGGGACCTAACTCCATTTTACATGCAACCCCAAACTACTTGGCACTTTTTACATTGTTACTGCTTGTGTAACAGATGGAAAACAGCTATTGTCCATCGGTGTGGGTTTATAGAAGAAAATTTTTTGTTAAGTTACATGTGTTACTCTGTGCTGAGTGACTGAACTGAAGACAACTCTTTAGAGTGTTGAAAAAGATTTCATTCATTATTATGTGTATGTATATATTGAGCTCTAATATACAGTGCACAGCTTGATGCATTTGTACACATATATACATATTAAAGCATGTAACTGCCACTTGGATCTAGATACTGTCTGCAGAGTTGGGAAACAGGATAAACCTATTTTTATGTTTTCTTTTTTTAATCTATATTTATTTTTTTAATTTATTCATTTTTTAATTGAAGGATAATTGCTTACAGAATTTTGTTGTTTTTTGTCAAACCTCAACCTGAATCAGCCATAAGTATACATATCCCTTTCCTCTTGAACCTCCTCCCTCCCATCTCCCTCCCCATCCCACCCCTCTAGATTGATACAGAGCCCCTGTTTGTTTCCTGAGACATACAGCAAATTCCCATTGACTATCTATTTTACATAGGGTAATGTAAGTTTCCATGTTACTTTCTCCATATCTCTCACCCTCTCTTCCCCTCTCTCCATGTACATAAGTCTGTTCTTTGTTTCTCCACTGCTGCCCTGCAAATAAATTCTTCAGTAGTATCATTTTTCTAGATTCCATATATATACATTAATATGTGATATTTATCTTTCTATTTCTGACTTACTTCACTCTGTGTAACAGGCTTTAGGTTCATCCACCTCATTAGAATTGACTCAAATGTGTTCCTTTTTATGGCTGAGTAATATTCCATTGTGTATATGTACCACAATTTCTTCAACATAGGATAAACCTATTTTTAAATAGTACATTACATTTTCAAATACTATGCCCATTGTGTTTTCATATGTACAATAAATATAGTCACAGTGTCCAAAAATCTTGAAACATCAGGAAAATGTCCTATTTATTTCATTTTTTACATTTTAGCAGTTAGATCCATTGCTTTAAATTTTACTTGAAAAGGTAACTTGAAGTTGAAGAAGATATTGACTATATTATTTACAAATGTAACTAACACATATTTATCCTGCTTCCCAACTTTACAGACACTCTGTACCCAAAAAAGTTTCCTTACATCCCTTACTGGTCAATATTCTGCTGCTCTTAGAGGTAGCCACCATTCTGACTTAATCATCATGTATCTTCAAATAATCTCTCTCTGTTAATTTACATATGCAGGAAAGGTAAATTGAACTAAAAAGAAGTCTTTGCAACCAGAGTTGCATTTTATCAGTTTGATTATGAAATGTTTTACATCCATTTACAGCTTTCATACTCCCTTATTTCAAAAGATGAATTACTTAGAAATTTCCAACAACATTTTTACTTGCAGAAGATTTTGGTACAGTGTGTAGATCAAAGCTAATGGGAAATATGTAATGGAAGATTTGTCTTTTTAATAGAACTAGATGTTACTGAATTAATAGAAGCACACAAAATGTAGGAATTTCATTTTTATTAATAAAAATTATTTTTGAATACTTCCTATTATTGCCATACTGTATATTAAAAACTTTTTGTACAGTGATAAGAAATTATGTATTAAATTTTTAATTAGATTGCTTGTCTTTATTCTTACTCTGAATCTATCCACAAAGGTCAACCACATGTCTTCTCTGTTGGGAGTCACTGAGTCGTGTCTGACTCTTTGCAGCTGCATGGACTGTAGCTCGCCAGGCTCTTCTGTCCATGGGATTCTCTAGGCAAGAGTACTGGAGTTGGTCGTCATTGTCTCCTCCAGGGGATCTTCCTGACCCAGGGATCAAACCCATGTCTCTTGCATCTCTTGCATTGGCAGGTGGATTCTTTACCACTCTGACACCTGGGAAACTCCATCTTCTCTATAGTTCTCATATTTGTGTTTTTGTCTTATCCATTCTTTATTCTCCATCACCTTTCAACAGTATGACTGTATGATCTCTGAATTCTTTTTAAGTAGATATAATTACTGAATGTAATCTGAATTATGGTGGAATTTCAAAGTAGGAAATAATGTTTTCTATTGGCTTTAATCCCTACACTTTCCAATGTTTTAATGCAGGGAATTATTTTGACTGACACTTTTAATAAAGCCATCTCATTTGTAGATATATTGTGCTTCCTAATTTTCACCATTTCAATATCCTGTACTTTGTCTTGGTATATTATCCACACTCTTTTAAGATTATTTCCTCCCCCCTTGTCATATTCAAATACATAGAGAATGTTATTTCACTGGTCTTCTGTATTCTATATAGAATAACCTCTGATTTTCTTGTTAAGTAAAGGTGAAGAGTCCTCACAGATTATTGTCCAGATAGCATCTGCATGTCTTTTATGACTTGGTATTAGATTAAAAAGCCTAAAATATTGTTTGGTGGTTTCTTTGCAGCCCCTCGGATGGAAAACTTGAGATGCAGAGGAGAAACAGTAGCTAAGGAGATCAGTGAAGCCATGAAGGTAACTACTACTAAATTATAAGTGAATAACATTTGTAGCTAGGTATTTGCTTTTAGCATTCATATGTGTCTCAGTCTGCTGTAATAGGAATTCTCAGTAGTCTTTTAAATAGATCTGTAATTAAGTTATTAAATGACTGTAACATTCAGAATAATTACATTTTTTAGGTACCTACTGTGTGCCAGTGTTATACCTGGCTTCTTTAAAGGTTGGGCTTCCCTGGTGACCCAGACAGTAAAGAATCTGCCTGCAATGCAGGAGACCTGGGTTCGATCCCTGAATTGGGAAGATCCCCTGGAGAAGGGAACGGCTAGCCACTGCAGTATTTTTGCTTGGAGAATTCCATGGATGGAGGAGCCTGGCAGGCTACAGTCCATGGGGTTGTAAAGAGTAGGACACGACTGAGTGACTAATACTTTGACTTAACTTTCTTTAAAGGTTGGTTATATTTTTTGAGTTCTGAGAGTTAGAAATCCATCAAACAATTTTGATAATACTACTAACATTTAGTCAGCATTTAGTATGGATTAGACCCCGTCTAACTGTTTTACATATATTATATTACCCCCTTTAATCCTTACGCTGTTCCTCTGAGAGAAGTACTGCTACTTCCTTGTTTTACAGATAAGGAAACTAGAGGGGCTAAGTAGATTTCCCAGATAAATAATTGTGTCAGGATTTAAACCCTGGATGTTTAGCTCCAGAACATGTACTCTTAACCACTGTATTATACTGTATTGATGCAAATAATCAGTAAATAATATATAATAGGAATAGCAGAAGAGGTTTATTAGAGCCAAACTGAGAACTATAGCCCAGGAAAGAGCTTCTCAGTAGCTTTGATGGGACTGCTCCAAAGGGGTAGAGGAGGATCCAGTATATATGAATTTTTCGGCTGGGAAAAAAATGTTGTCAAGATTGCAACGTGGTGAAAGATTAGTGCTAAGCACAAAGAACAGATATCTCAAGTTAATGATTTTAGTGTTTTTTCCATGTATGGAAAGATGCAAGAATCTGGGGTCATTGAAATCTGTCCTTAAATGTGCATCTTAACTCTCTGGGAGCCTGTGTATCCAAAGCACAGAATGCTGCTTCTTGGCTTTCCCGTCCTGATTCCCCTCGGGGCTCCCAGTCTTGGGTGACTGCAGGGGGGTGGCGCCTTAGCCCTTTGTGTAACTGCATGATGAGCACATTCTTTTCTTTACTGGTGACAGCAGAAGTACAAGGTACGTTTGACAGGCCATAAGACAGGCTGCTTGAGTTAGCATACAGTTCAAACTAAATCCTGTATAAACCAGAGTGACTTCCCCTTACCTCAGTATGTGAAAGTTTCTTCCATCAACTGTATATCCAACTTGGAGTTTTAATATTATTATAATAAAATTGTCTATGTTCTTGACATGTATTTTGCTCAAATAAAAAACATTTGGATTTCTAGTACATGAAAATTATTTTTAAATTCCTTCAGAATCTCCTCTGTCTTGATTACTTTCTGTAACCTTCTTTTGTGATGTGTATTGATCCCATGATTTTCTGGTACTCACACTTCTCTCACAGCATGCTCTTAATCAGGCGTTGGTGAACTGTGGTGGGCCAGGTTAAAACCCAGCCTGCCACCTTTTTTTTGTAAATAAAATTGTTTTGGAACCGAGCCATGTACTTTAATTTACTTATTGTTTATGGCCTCTTTGGGGTTCTCAGATGGGGCGGTGGTAAAGAATCTGCCTGCCAATGCAGGAGACACGGATTCAATCCCTGGGTCTGGCAGATCCCTAGAGTAGGAAATGGCAACTCATTCCAGTGTTTTTGCCTGGAAAGTTCCATGGACAGAGAAGCCTGGTGGGCTTCAGTCCAAGGGGTCGCAAAGAGTGGGATGTGACTGAGCATGCATGCATGCATGGCCTCTTAACACTACAACGGGAAAGTTGAATAATTGTGACAAATGTAAAGGCCCTCACAGCCTAAAATGTTTATTCTATAGGCCTTTATAGGAAAAATGCACTGATGCCTCCTGTAAGATTTCTAAGATACGTACTATCCTAAAATATGGAATTCCAGACATTAGATTTTTTAACTCTGAAATTCTGTTATCTCCTGTGTGTGTGTGTTTTAATCTTTTCTCCTCGCTGTGAGGCATTGTGGGATCTTAGTTCCCCTACTAGGGATTGAACCTGCACCTCTTGCATTGGAAGGACAAAGTCTTAACCGCTGAACTGCCAGGGAAGTCCCTGTTACCTCCTGTTTTACTAGTTTTATTTTACTACCAGGCATTATAAAATAGGAATAGAATATATCTTTTTAGCTTTAGCTTTTTGTTAAAATTCCTCAACTAAAATTGGTATTTTAAAGTAATGTCGATTATCTGTGACCTAAAAAATTAGGTTTTGGAAAAGGGCTTGACCTGAAGAGTTTAAATACTTGAGTGTTGTACTTATCTCTGTGTTTGTGTTTCAGCCTGAGATTAATGTTAAGTATTACTGTTGTTTGTTTTTTAAGTCCTTACCTGCATTAATTGAACAAGGAGATGGATTTTCCCAAGTTTTAAAGATGCAGCCTCTCATCCAGCTCCAGAGAGTCCACCAGGAGGTCTTCTCCGGTTGCTGTAGGAAACCAGATGTTAAACCCGAGAGCTTAATAGCACAAATAGAAACCACACCGGCAGAGACTTCTACTAGGACAACTACTGACTTGGTACTGAGAAGAAAGCAAACTAAAGACTGCCCCCAGAGAAAATGGTATCCATTGCGGCCAAAGAGAATTAACCTTGATACATAAGCCCTTTTGGTTCATCTTAAGAGGTGAAATTAGGCACTGTCAACATTTAGATTACAGCCTAATGCCTGGACAGGACTTTGTTTGCAGATAACTAGTGATTCCTTAATACAAATAGAATGGCGCTATGCTGGGGTATGATGTAGTATTTTCATCTGTAGTCCATGAAAAGCATGTTGTTTGAATATTGGCACAAAGCCTGTCAACAGTCATTAAGAGTGCAAACTTTTACTGTCCTTAAATACCATCAGCACTTGGCTGCCTTACAGCTTTTGTGGAATTTCAGAAGTAACATATTCCACTGGGTTTCCCAGATACACATCTTTGTTTAAAAAAGAGCTGTAGCAGTTATCTTTATTTAAGGGCTGAAAGTCATCGTCATTTCTGCACAGTAGCAGATGCAGCTGTTTTCTTGGGTACCTCCCCCAGTGCAGTTGCTTTATCAAATTAACATGCAGATGACAAGACTGGCTTTGACTTTGTTACTCTAAGTTCCACTAATTTGAATTTGTGGGATTAATTTTAGAATTTTTTTGGTTTTGTTTTGTAAGACAAAGATGATTATTTGTGTAAGAATTTCTCTTAGAAATAAAACTTGCCATGTAGCTGGTGTTTCTTACCCACACTTTTGTTTTCCATAGATTAACTTTTAAATATGTTGACTTGGAATGAATAATTTCTTTTCAGGATTTCTCATTATTTTTTGTAGATGAATCCAGTTCAAAAATATATATCAGATTAATACATTAAACAAATTGTCACTGTGGAAGAAATACAGATGCAATCATATTGAACTATTTTACATTTGAGAGTATTTACATATCAAGTATATAATCATTGGTACAAAGAAGTCTGAGAAAGCAGTATTGCCTATACTGCTGAACATTTAAGTAGAGTTTCTCTAGCTCTTATTGTTTCTCTTACTCACATTAACACAATGTAGGCATGGCCATATAATTTGCCAGCTGTTTTCTTACAAACGATTGTATACCTTCATGCCTTTACAGAGGAATTTACTAATCACGAGGTTGGAAAATAATGTACTTCTCTTGTTCATTTTGTCTTAATAATCATGAACGAGAAAGTCTGTCTCGGTGAAGAAAACAGCTACTTTATTGCATCCTGAATTTGAGTGTTACAACTTGAGATCTGTATATTTGTATACAATAATGTATTTTTATTAAAATGTACAAAGACTACAGCCTTGATCCTGTGTATTTTTAAGACTTGTCTCAGGCCTTCTGGAGCTCAGCTTTAGTTGGATGGTAGGTCAACACCTTGCACATAACTAAATTTCACTGTAAAACTGTTTGGAGTCTACAGAATATTGCTATACTAATGTCACACTTTTTCATAATATCAGTACAAAAGTCTGTATGAATAGTTTCACTCAAAAGCATGCAAGCAAAAGCATTATTGTTAATTCTTCTAGATTAGATAACTGAATTGTGTTTCTGTAAAAAAAAAAAAGTCTCCTTTTTAAGAAATTCATATTGAAATACATAGAGTTCAATAACTTGATGTCTTAGGTTTGCTTGCAATTATGTTAGCCAAGAAAAAAGGAGAGGAATAGATAAAGTGAGTATGGCAAAAATCTTGATAATGTTGGATCTGTGTGAAGCTATAATCTTTCTACTTCTGGGTCTGGAAATTTTTATAATTAAAAAGTTTCTTCTTTTTAAAGCCCTCAGACAAACAGCTGAAACTTGAAATCTTTTAGAGAGCTCGAAGTATTACTCCACAGTTACAGCAGAGTTCCAAATGAAATACCGTTAGGAAAGAAAATATGTTAGCATTGTTAACTAAGGTAAACATGGCTGATATCAGTAATTTATTGATAAGTATTTTTTTTAATTGATAAGTATTTTTAAGAAAAATTGAGGGACTTCCCTGGTGGTCCAGTGGCTAAGACTCGAGTACTCCCAGTGTAGGGGGCCCAGGTTTGATCCCTGGTCAGGGAGCTAGATCCCATATACCACAACTAAAAAGATCCACCATGCTGCAATTAAGACCTGGTACAGCCAAATACATATTTTTTAAAAAAAGAAGAGAAATTGAATTTCTTCATAGACTGAGAATTAGCTTGCTCAGGTGATGAAAAGTCAAAAAGTCTGTAGTTGCAAGGAATATTGAAGGAAAAAAATAGAATATCAAATAGTGACATACCTATGGTAAAAAGAAGGCTGGATTGGACGGAGTCTTAAAATTTCCTTTCAACAAAAACCACAGTCAGACAAACAAGCAAAACACAGGAAGGTCAAATCCAGTTTCAAGGGAGAGAGAATATTTAAAGCAGCTGGTTCCTGAAAACACTGAAAGGATATCTGTGTTTTCCAAACGTCGGGCATTAGAAACTGTATTAGTCAGCTTGAGTTGCTGTAACAGAATACCACAGACTGGGTGACCTAAACAACAGAAATTTAATTTCTCACAGTTCTGGAGATTTGAAGCCCACAATCAAGGCAAATTCAGTTTCTGTTCTTCATGCATGCATTGGTGGTTGGGGAGGTGTTGGTGTCTTTTCTCATAAGAACATGAATCCTGTTAGAAAGCTATACCTGTGACCGCATTTAACCTCAATTACCTCCTTAGAGGGCCTGTCTCCAAATACGGCCACACTTGGGGCGAGGTTATGGGCTTCCCCGGTGGCTCAGATGGTAAAGAATCCACCTGCAATGCAGGAGACTTGGGTTCAGTCTTTGGGTTGGGAAGATCCCCTGGAGAAGGGAATGGCTGCCCACTCCAGTATTCTGGCCTGGAGAATTTGTCCATGGGGTTGCAAAGAACCGGACATGATGGAGCGACTTTCACTTTAGAGCTTATGGATTTTGAGGGGACGCAAACGTTTGGTCCGTAACACTAGACAACAGAAATCTTTTCCTAGACCTCTTTCCTTGGGCCTTCATGGCTTGGGCTGCATAGAGAACAAAGTCAATGAAATCAGACTTTTACTTTGCTTCAGAATGCAGCTATCTGTAAAACCGAGCTTGTCTGACTTCTGTTGAAGGCCTTTGTTTTCCCCCTATATACTTTCATTCATTCATTCATTAATCCACTCAACAGATACCTGGTAGTCACTACTTAGTTCAGAAGTCAGGTTCAGAGCATAGACTCTGAGCCAGATCACTTGGATTCAGATTTCTGCTCTACTGTTATTAAATAGAATTGAGCAGGATACTTAACTTCTCTGTACCACAGTGTTCTCATGTATAACATGGGGGTGACGGTAATACCAACCTTATAGTGTTGTGAGAAGTGAGTTCATAATATGAAGTCTTTAGTACTTGGCACATAGTATACATAGTGAGCGTTCCATAAGCATTATTAATACTTGGTTTGTCAAAAGAAGTGAAAACACTCATAGGATAAAACTTTAAGAGTCATATATTCTAGTGAGGAGAACAGTGATCATGCACTGCAGCAAATGCTACATAGATGTATTTGGGGGAACTTTGGTGCGAAGCCATGGAAGTCTTTGTGGAGGAGGCAGCATTTGAGCAATCTTGACTATTTTAGGGAAATAATGAGGGAGGAGGATGGCCGGCAGTGAGAGAATTCAACAGGGCAGGTGGCTGTGAGGGAGCTCTGCACGGGAGGACTCCCAGCTAAGTCTCTGTGTGGGTCTTGTCTAAAGAGGCTTGCTACAGGCGAACCAGAAGAGAGAAGCAGGAGCAACTCTTAAGAATTTTGTCCTCCTTAGAATTGGTGGTGAGGCACCATTAATGTCAACACAGGAGGGGCCAGGAGGTGGAAAATCCATTGAATCCGTGGTCCCCGTTTTGTGTCATTTACCCCAAAATAGCAAGAACAAGAAAGAGTAACAGACTCATCTTTTGAGGAAGATTGCCCCAAACCATAGCATATGAAGAAGGAAAGTGTATCAAGGAAAGAGAAATGAATTAACACATCAGAGGAATATCAAACCTACGTGTCTGCAGAGTGATACATTGATAAGAGAAACCCAGTTTTCCCCCGCCCCCCAGAATCACTTGACAGCTGAATGGAGGACACCACAGAGACTGAGGTGAGATGGAGGAGCCTGAAAATGAGGTGCTGACTTATCCCCTTCACTCACTGTTGGTAATTATGCAAAAGGAGTTTGTCTTCTGAAAAAACTGAAAGACCTGGAGAGAAGAGTGAAGCTCAGAACAAAAAATGGGCAGAGTGAAGTTCTGTACTGGAGTGCTAAGACTTGGAAGTTCCAGGATACCGGCAGCCTGGTTCACACATATTAGCTGGGCCTTCTTTAGAAAACCCTCAGAGAAAAGAGCTCCAGACAATGATGCTTGGAGGTCCCAAGCCACATTTCCAGCTGACCAGTCCAATTGCTCCACTGTGGAGACATTTCGTCTCTTAAGACCCATTCACACAGGGCTTCCAGGAACATTTTTGTATATATTTTACTCTCAAAAATGAATAGAGAGTTCCCTTACAGTTCAGTGGTCGTGACTTGACACTTTTCACTGCCAGGACCTGGGTTTGATTCCTGGTCAGGGAACTAAGATCCCACAACCTGCACAGTGTGAAAAAAGAAAGAACAGGAAGCAACCCAAATATCCATCAATAGTCAAAAAACAAGCTGTGGCATATACACGTAATGAAATATTACACAGGAATTTTAAACTGAAATTACTGATAACATGTACAGTAAGTCCCCTACACATGAACAAGTTCCCTTCTGAGAGCATGCTAGAAAGTCCGATATGTTCATAAGACCAACAAAGTTAGCCTAGGCACCCAACTAATGCAATTGGTTATAAAGTACTATTCTGTAGTAGGTTCATAATAACTTTCATACCAAAAACACATAACAAACACAAAAAACAAAACATTTGAAGTCTTACAGTACAGTACCTAGAAAAGTCCAGCCATACAGTTTAAGAGCTGGGGTACGGGACTGGCATCAAAGGAACAGGCAAGACGTGTCCTAACTGGAGGAGGGAGAAGAGGTGGGGGACGGTGGAGCTGAAGGAGCCGTGACAGTAAGAGGTGGAGGGTGAACTTCAGTTTCTCTAATACTTGACATTGATGGAACACATGTTTGCATCCTTGGAAGTTCGTATGTAGGGGACTTAACTGTAATGTGGATAAATCCCAAAGGCATTATATTGAATGAAAGAAGCCAGGCTCAGAAGAGGACATACCATGTGTGGAAATTAAAGAAGAGGCAAAATGAATGTATGGTGGTTGCCTGTGGGGGGAGAGGAGATACTAACAGAATGGGCACAGGGAAGCTTTTTGGGTGACAGAAATGTTCCGTATATTGATCTTAGTGGTGCTTATATTGCTATATACATATGTAAAATTTCATTGAACTATGCACTTTACATTTCTCCATTTTATTTTATATAAGTTTTATTTTAAAAAATAATAAGCACACAAGTGGAGATTGACCGCACATGTGAAGGAAGCCTCCAAATGCAGAGACCAGAAGACTGTAGGTCCCCCGAAGGCAGGAATCTTTGTTCTGATGTACCAAAACTAGTGCCTACAGAGCACATGGTTTTTTCTCAGTGCATATTGGTTAACTGAAAACAAGAACTCAAAAACCAAAGGGAAATGAGGATCCCAAACAAACAAACAAAAACAGACAAATACAAGGCAGAGTTACAGAATAATTACTGCTCTCCCAGAGATGAGAAGATACTGTTTCCATTAAGAAAATTCCATTAAAGAATTTAGTAAACAAGAGTTCTCAAAAATTAACAGTTGAAGTGTAAAGGTCAAAATAAATTCAGGAGGAGGGCTGGAAGATAATATGAGTATTTCCCAAAAGTAAAACAAAAAGATTAGGAGATAGCAAATTAGGAAGAAAGAGTAAGAATAAAGAGAATAAATTTAGAGGGCTAATGTCTAGTTGATAGCCATTCCAGAAAAAAAGGGCAGAAAAAAACAAGGAGTCAAAATTATCAAAGAGATGATACAGTTACCATATGATCCAGCAGTTCAATTCTGAGGTCAAAACCTAAGAGAATGAAAGGCATGTCTTTGTAATAACATGTAGATGAATGTTTGTAGCAGCAAACTAAATGTCTATCAACTGACAAATGGATAAATAGAACGTGGTATATCCAACTGATGGAACATTATCTGGCAATAAGAGGTACGGTACATGTTACAATGGGGATGAAACTTGAAAACATGCTAAGGGATAAATCACTCATAAGATTGTCTTTGGTATGATCCCATTTATATG